AGTGTAATGGCAGTACGTCCGACCGGTAATCGGAAGGTCTGGGGTTCAATTCCTCAGTCGGGCAGTGGTCTTTTTCCGTTCTGTCGTGATATAACATCTCGCTGGGTGATTACGGGGCGTAACAAATTTCTTCTTTGTTACTTTGTTACCAGCAACAAGAAATAATTGCGTTGCTTGTTACTATTAATAGTAACAGTAATGGTAAACAGCCAGCCTTACTCTCATGTCGTTTTTGTTGATACTCTTCACCTTCTCTGATTAGACGTTCTTCACAAATGATCAGTATGCTAAAAAGCTTTTAAACAGATTAGAAACAATTGTATCACCCGTCGAACAGTCAAAGATTACTACCATTTATAATATTATTGGTCGTCTTTACTATCAAAAAGGAAACTATGATAAAGCGTTAAAATATTATAGTAAAGAATTTCCTGTTACTACTGATTATGATAATTCAAAATATGAATCTAATCTAAATAATGTTGCTACTATTTATTTTAAAAAAAGGTCAATATGACCTTGCATTAATTTCGTACAATAAAGCATGAGAAATTTTTGAAAAAATTTACCATATGCAGTTTTAAGAATTGCTAGTTGTCTTAATAACGTTGATCTTATACATGATAAAAAATCGAAGATAGATCAAACATTAATCTGTTATAAAAAATCTTTGAAAATATATCGAAGTAATGCTACATCAGAGAACTACATGATAAAGCGTTAGGGCAATTTATACAATATTTAAAAATGTTAGAAAAAACATTTAAAAATGATCATTCAGACATTGATGATACATTAAATTATACTGGTTATGTATATTATAACAAAAATAAATTCAATATAGCACTAGAATACTTTATGCAAACTATGAATTTATATCAAAAATTTTATTAGCAATAATCATATTGAAATTGCAAATTTTTAACACAATTTGGGTCTTTTCCATAATAAAAGACAAGAATTGGATAAAGCATTGGAGTTTTATTTATAAATTTGAAACACTCATCAAAAATGTTTAAGTGAAAAAGATGATACCTATATTGCCACTGTTCTTCAAGATATTGGGCTTGTTTATAATGGTAAAGGTAAACACGAAACTGGTCTGCAATATTGCATCAAATCGTTACATAAGTGAGAAAATATATTACCAAACAATAATCGAAAAATCGTCCTGATATATGAAAATATTAGTCGTATTTATTTTGAAATGGATGATTTTACGAATAGTATTGAATCTTTCAGCAAATTACAAGGGAAAACATTTTCGAAGGATTATCCAGACTTAGTTTTTAATCGAAATACCGGGTCTCTGTAGGAAGAAGTAACAAGGTCTCCTGGAGTAAGGTCGATTTACCCCGGAAAAAAGTTGAGTTTCTTGTGAAGAAACAGCCAGTTTCCCATGAGAAAAGATGAAGTTCTTGTGAACTTTGATGCTTTATATATGTCAGTGTGTATAGTTGAGGTTAGTATTCTTACTGTACATTCCATGTCATTACGGACGATGATAAAAATTCGTCTCTTTTCCTCTCTATTCGTTTGTGTCTATGCTTATCATCAAGATATACATCCTTCTTACCAGATCATTCTGCCCGTTAGGAGCTATTCTTCGAGTTGCAACAAAGGAAAGGTATCAGTCGCAGTTTCGAAATAGGACAATTTCTCTTCAGCACTATAAATTAACATCTAGTCAAACAGAAAACTCTTTAAATACTGAGATGCCATCTGCTTGCAGAACTCGTGCAAGTTCTTTGCAACTCTTTCAAGCCACAAAGCTAGATGAACAATCGAATTTATTTCAACGTAATGAAAAATTATTGTGGTCTGAAAATATTTGTCTGTCGCATAGCGAAACGGCAGCAACACTTAAAAATTATCTTCAAAAAGAACAACATCGGAACGTAACTTTAAAAATGGATCATGAAAAAAAGCCCCATAGAAAGCGAAAAAACCTCCGGCTTTTAAAGATGATGCTTGTGAAATTAGGCTGCTTGATTTTAAATTAGGAGATGTTCGATTAATAGGCTCAAATTTGCAGTTGTCTGATCGTGTACTACTCCTTGGATTTGCAAGTCCTGCATTAACAAGAACCTTGTATTATGAAGCCATACAGACAAATATGCTACAGGAAAATGCAAAACTTATTGATGTACTTCCAGAGCAAAGTCTTCATGATGTATCGTTGGAAGTGCAACGTATAGCGATTAATGATTTAGCGTGTCACAGCAGCGGACTGCCAGATTATGCTAAACAAAATTGTAACTCACCTAACGATTTGTTATTGGCGCTGAAAACGTTAGACAATCTATCAACGGAGAAACTAAGTATTTTGGCTATCTCATTGTTGGGACACGCACTCGCGGCTCTTCACGATACATCGTACGACGATTTGTTTCAAGAAAAGATTGCTGGTCCATTAGAACTATTCAATACGTACGTAAATTACGGTCTGGAAGCTTATTATCTGGCTTGCGGTATTCAAAGTACACTTGATGATATGAGTAAACTTTTAATGATACTCTATTGCAATGAAAATCATAGTTCTACTACGATTATTCAAGCGCTTCGAAAAAGTTTCAGTGACAATATCGCATAATTTTTTCAAACAGAACAACTGCTCCCAGTAATCCGAATAAATTTCGACAAAGCGTTGTTAATAGCATCTAAATAACCCATATTGGGGTGCCTCTATCAAAAAATCGTCAAAACAGTGTTCACGTCTGATAGTACACCTGCTTACATGAATATCGTTCAAAACTGCCTCTCTAAATTACTTGGAATTCCATCAACAAGTATATCCGTAGAGACAGTTTTTGATGACTTAGGTATTGACTCTTTACAGGCGATTACATTTATTGATCTGCTGTCGCAAACTGTTGGAAAAGATGTAGACATTGACATACTTTATAAATATCCAAATATCAAGAGTTTTGCAGGGCGAATCCAAGAGTTAACTACTGATAGTGCTCCGATAAAACCAGTAATTAATATTCAAAATTATACTCTTGATAAAACAGCAGGAATGCCAAAAGTATACGAATCAATCGGCGAAAAATCATTAGAAATTTTATTACAATTTATTTCAAGTTCAAAGCAGCGGTTGTTAGATGAATTGCATCAATATGGCGCACTGCTATTCTGTGGTTTTGATGTCATAACAGCCGAACACCTTTCAGGGGTTGTAGAATCATTTACTGTTAGTAATAAGTCATTTCTAGACTATCGTGATGGTATATCACCGAGAACACGACTTACGACAAAAGTATTTACATCGACGGAATATCCAAAACGTGTTAATATGTCATTGCACAATGAAATGTCTTATTCCACCAACATGCCGTCAATAATATTTTTCTTTTGTGAAATCCCGCCTGTTGAGAACACTGGTCAAACACCAATCGGCGATTCACGAGCGATATTCGAATCGGTTGATCACAATATACTTACCGAATTTATTGAGAGAA